GTGGACGCGTCTAGAATACTGCCTCGTGCGGCTGGATGATTATGCGTAGCCTACGGTGCTGTGAGTATGGGAGGGAGGAGAGCTGGCAGCCCTCGGGTGGCCGGGCGGGGGGGCTGGCCCTGCGATGTGCACACAGTGGCAGGACCCAGGAGCTCTGGATTCCATTCCCAAAGCCCGTTCCCAGACTGGCCGGGTGAATGGGGCGCCTTCCCTCGGGCTGAGACTGGGCCCAGACCCCGGGGTGGGGGTGCACAAAGCTCCCGCTAAGCGGGCTGGCTCCCACCCTGGCTAACTGCGCTAACCACTAGGGAGCCACGCTCTCTCGTCTCTGCAAGCCTGAGCATGACTGTGTTGCCTGCTGGTTAGAGCACTTGCCCAGGCTTGGAGCCTGTCTCCCTGCTCCAAGGAGGCTCTCCTTATTTATGCCCAGCACAACAGCGTCAACAGCCGAGGTGGCGGGAGCCCCAGGGCAGGACTGCCCAATGGTTAGAGCATCACCTGACTCAGCAAATTCCTTCTTCTTCAGGGGAGGGGGTGCTTGAGCCCGGTGCGGGGGGAGGTGCCGAGATCCCCCATCTCTCAGCTACAAGAAAGCTGAACCCCCAAGAACCAGGGTAGAACTAGGACATGGCCTTTGGTGACTCCATAGCAGGGGTGGGCAACTATTTTGGGGTCCGAGGCCACTGACCCACAGAAAAATCAGTCGGGGGCCGCACACAAAATCCCCTCCCTGACGAGGCGCCCGACTGAGGAGAAAGGCCCTCCCCCACACGTCCCTCGCACACCAGAGCCTGGGGGGGGCCCAGACTCGTAGATTTTGTGTGTTCCACCCCGCAGTGGGGTGGGGAGGGGGCTGGAGTGCCAGCACAGGCTCCCCAATATAGCGGGAGCCCTGAGCCTCGGGGGCAGGATTCAGGCAAGTCAGGGGGCTGCATCCAGCCCCGGGCATGAGGTCGCCCACCCCTGCTCTATAGGAAACGCCTGGTGCACCGTGGTGCCGCCTGACACCTGCAGACGTCTCCTTCCGCCCTGCGCCCCCCTGGGTCCCTGCTGCAGTGCCCCCTCGGTCTGAGCCTCGCCCTGCTCCGGAAGGAGGGGTGGGACGACCCAGGCTGAGCTAGGAGCAAACGTGCTCCCCTCCCAGCCCCAAAACACCAGCTCTGGGGGGAGGGGACTCCCCGGTGTCCTCCTCAGCCCAGGGATCTGGCCCCGAACGGCGCTCGCCGTGCCCTGGGGCAAGTGCGCCGGAACCCGAGCGCCTGTTCCCCGGGGGGCTTTTGGAAACGTGGCGGTTCCGCCGACAAACGGGTCGGTTCCCCCGGGGAGGCGGGACCTCGGCCCAGGACGGAGAAGACCCTGAACTGGGCACTGGGGGGGCCTTTTGCTCCGAGGGTGGCGTTCGCGTGGCAGAGCCAGGCCTGTGCTGTGTGAGGCCGGGCTCTCCTTGCGCCGGTGTGAATCAGGAGTGACTGCCCTGGTGAAAACGGGGGAGGGGGACGGGCTAGGAGAGAGGCGCCCGGAGTGCGTTTGGATCGTCCGCCCCGCAACGCGGTCTGCGGCGAGACGCCCCCT